ATTAACTTCTTAAGCAGATAGTATCCCCTTAATTAACTTTTCAAATGACAGCTAAGTAAGTAAAATCTTAATGACTGATACAACAGCATTCCCCCTCTGATGAGGAAAGGAGACGGCATTTCATACAAAGGGCAGTGAATTTCTGGAACTCCTTGCTGGCAGGACAGTGCTGATGCAATAAGCTTACACAGGTGCAAGAACAGACTGGACACGTACTTGGAAGAGACCCACCAGAGACTACCACTCAAACCACAACAGGTTAGATTCTCCTGAGCTGAAAACAGAGAGGCTGAGACACCACTGAGGCAGTTTTGTGGTGAAAACAAACGCTATAAATTATTAGCCTTTGTGAATGGCAACGATAGGTCTGGAACATGCCAAAAAGCAGTGGTATGCCTATGCATTTGTGTTGGGACAAAACAAGTACTATGGAAAAAAAGAAGTGTTGCCCTGTTAAAACTACTCAAGAACTGAACCATACACCTACTACGTAAATGCTAATTAAAAAATGCTCAGCTATTATCAGCACCATATTCAATTGCTTTAGTAAGTCACACCAACACCCCCACCCCTCACTCGCAACTATACCACAAAAAAAAACTCCAAAACCCCAAAACCACACCTCTGGACTTCAGGAAATGTTACAGCACAGATAGTAACCAGTATATACTTCCCCCTCTTTTTAAAATACCTTGCAATTGCTTTCAATATGCCATCATATAACTGATGAACAAATTCAATCTGTGCTATACTTGGTATCTGGCTCACTCCTGAGGACAACTTAACTCTAAATGGCATACAGTAGCTCTGCAATATGAGAGCTTATCTACCAGGAAACAGGTTACAACATCTGTTCAAATCTGAGAAGCCAAAAAACCTGCAGCTAGGTCCTCCTCTGTCAGTAACTGCTCGTAACAGGACGTGTAACAAGAATGCAGAAGTTGCTGAATTATCAGTCTTAAGACCCTCTTATAGCACGCGAATGACGTTCATAAACTTAAAGGCAGCGGCCTCCAAACTTCTTCAACGTTTGTCTCATCTGCCTCTGACACATTGCCTCTTCATCTGTTTGCCTGAGAGGGGAAACGAGCGTGCTGTGAATATATGGATAGGGCTGAACGTATTGGAATTCTGCAATGTGAGCGACCTGCAGCTCTGCAGACAATGGCCTGCTTCTCTAGGGCAGAACAGCTGGCACGATGCTACCCTGAGTTTTACTTTCTTAGTGCACAGTTGTCAGCTAACACAGCAGCATGAAGCTGCTAACCCAGTGCTTGACCTGCTGCAGCTGCATCTGCTACTTCAGTAATACTACAAAGGCTTGCACAGGCATTACCAAAAAGAGAAAAAAATGGATTAGACTGGCCGTGAAACCACTTCTTGACAATGACCTCCAACACCCATCTCCAACCATAAAATCTCTCATTACCCCACAGCAACGAGGAACAAGCAAGCTGATAGCCTCCAGAGCTCTCTGGTTTAAGATTACTCAAACATTTTTGCATTATTTTGAGGTATATCACAACTCTTGTTTCAAGAATCTGTATCTAATTAGCTCTTTTTTACACATAAGCAGAAACTCCAAAGAACTTCAAATATCACAGTTTGCAGCAGTGCCATTTACAAAGTGACAGACAACTTCAGCTAGTATTTACCTGGATTTTTCCAAAGGCAGCCAGTATATGCCCATCCTGTTTTCAAGGAGAGTACCTGTGCAGCATTAGCATAATAGTCTACTATATCAGCACAGTGAAATAAATAAAAAATATGTCCATGCAAGCAAAATCTTAAAATGAAAATATTTTCCTGGAAACACCATCCTCTGTTTGGTGTTCAATTATCTCCTCCTTATACTTGTTCCTCAATGATACACTGAACAGTTCCATTAATCTTCACAGAAATATAACAAGAGAGGTACCTGGATTGTTGCCTTTCTCTTACAGTGCAAGACATTTTCTTCTGCTAGCTTTAGACTCAAATTTTGTAATTAAAGTTCCCAATTGTGACCTTCAGAACAGTGATCTGAAATGTATATCAAATTTCTGTCTTTCCTAGATAAATTTTGTTTCTTTATCTTGCATATTTCCTCACTTTTTTCAGACTAAGTGAACAGAGACAAAAGTCAGCATTATCAGCTATTTCTCAGCAGTACTAGCAAATTTAAAAAAAACCCCAAACCACAACACAGTAAAACTTCTTGTGATGCAAAGAAGACAGAAAAGGCCTGGCTGAGAAGACACTGGATGCAAGATACTAGACAGGAAGCAAATAAGCAGATGAACAAATGGCCAGAAGATCGAATAGTGAATTTGAAACAATTAATGCATAATGAACAATTAATGCAAACCTACTGGAGCATCTGCACTTGTAGAACAGATAACAATAACCCTTAATGCAGGCTCTCTATAATAATTAATTATGGCAAACCAAAGACAAAGAGTAATCATCACATGTTTATCCCTCTTCGCAAGACATTTACAATTAATAATTCATATGATGTAGGAATCCCTGGGCAATTGCTTTTAAAGCAGAAGCATATAGGTTTCCTCCCCTCATTCTATGAAGACATATAAACATCAAAAACAATAACAATGAAAAAAAATGTAAAATATGTAATCCTTTTATCCTTATAGGTAGGATGTGGTTTGGTTTTGGTTTGCTTTTTTTTTTGGTAGAAAGATGTGAAATGCATATTTCAGGTACTGCTTAAGCTCTACGGGAAGGTATGCAAAAGAAAATTTCAGCTAGAAGTTATTATTTTTTCATCCACCAACATTCCAGCAGATGTAGTTTGGGAATCGTCTTGAGTTTTCTTTATCAGAGTGCTACAACACAACAATGCTTATATTTTGCTAGAGACAAACTACGGAAACCTCAGACAGATCTGAAAGACCTGTAAATACTTTGGCACTGTAGATAAAAAAAGAAATATTCTTTAGAAGGTAGGAAGAATGGCTTGGTCACAACAATAGTAAGAGGAAATAAAGGCAGTAGTATGACACAGAACAGGAGGCAAGGCAGGAAATGAGAGTATAAGAAGTGAGGACATGCATCTCTATCCTGTGAAACGACAGAGAACTACTAACAGGAGACAGGATGGAACATTTAAGGCAGCAGCAAAGTTTGAGGGTTTCCCTCGTTTATTGACTGAATTCAGACTGTGAGACACACAGAAAGTATGGATGATAAATCGCACTTCAACACTTAAATCTTCAGTAAAAGAGAGTAAGAATACTAATGCTTGCAACCTTTCATGCCCTGAAAGCAGAGGTACAGATCTGCTTACACCGCCTTTCCCCTCTCTCTCTCCCCAAATGTTGCCTCTGAGCTTACAAAAATAAACTGCCTTTTTTTTTTTTTTTTTCCCCAAAGATTGGCCAGAAGTTTACCTTCAGGTATTTCAGCTTTTATGTAAGAAAAAACCCTGCAAGCAATTCAATGGAACAGAATAGTCTAGTTCTCCTTCAGCTGTTTTACTTTGTAAATACAAAAACATACAAACACAAGACCCAGAAATCTGGTTTCAAATAGGCCTGTATTTTACTGTCTTCTCCTACATTATATGAATCTGCACTTAGTCAAAAAGATGCACTAGAAACAAACATTTTGTCACCTCTGTAATATTTGCTAGGGAGATTTTCGAGGAATGAACTACACATTTTGTGTTAGTTTTCTGCCACTAAAACAGAGCCAGAACTTACTCTTCTGGTAAGCAGCTGGAAATCCACTAGGTCCTGGAAAGCTCTGAACAGTCTGCTTGCCTTCAAGCTGAAGAGGCCACAAAGCACTACAAAACCAGCTATACAATTCCAGGACAATACCACATATGAAGATTCTTGTATCACCTAGACAAGAACTGCAGCAAACAAAAAATACCTTTAACTAAGGTTTATTGCAAGCAACATACCTTGTGCATGTGTAAAGTAAAACCTTAAAGTAAGAACTGGTCAGTTGCTCTGTTTACTTAAGAAGTGTAACATGTAATCTTAACTCGAAGGAACAAACTGTATATTCTTAGCATATTCTTAAATGATTTTAAAACCTCTCCTTACTGAAATGTCTTAGAATAGCAGACCAACCTGTTTAAAAATCTTCCTGAATTATGATAGAGGCTTTTTCTCCATTCCCTGTTAAGTTTCAAGAGACCTTTTGGACTAAACAAAGCAATCAGTCTCCAGTTCCATCGTCCTTTGTAGACATTAGAAGAGCCATGCAAGCCATTTTGGAGTCCTTTAACCTCAAATAGTTTCTACTAATAATACCAGATACAAACAAGAATCAGTTAATATTATACTACATTAAAAATTCACCCACTATTTCTCTCTCATTTCATCCAAATTAAAGCTTTTTGTTAGATGTTACCTGAACAGAGTTCAAATGCAGCTCAGACAGCTCCAGGAGAGCACGCTATGCAGCTAAAATCATAATCACTGCAATAATAATTTCTACATACTGCATCAACTTAGATAAGGCATGATTTCCCCTGGCTCTTGGCACACGGCTGCAAAGGTATAGTTCCAGGATTGTCCATGAGCAGAGTGGAGGAGATCAGAATGGGACGTGGTATCCCTGGATAGGCAAACAATTCAAGGTATCACATACATTGTAGGGTAGAAAAGACTAACGGATGCAACAAGGGAAGCTCCAGCATCACTCCTGCCACAGAAGAAACGCAAACGAGTTGTTATTTTGTTGTCTCCAAATCAAAGCTGAGACTCCTGCTGCATATTTTGGACAAGCAGCCACCTGCAAAACTTCACTAGCTTTTAAGCTACACATGCAGGATCACAATCAAAATGTCAGAGAGTATGTTTCTGAAAAATATCTAAACTTTCCAAGACTCTAGAGTCAAAAGAGAAACAGTATATGTGCCTCAGTTTTCCTAATCAGCTAAGAAAAAATGACCGCTTTCATCATTGTAAGTAAAACCACCTTCTCTCTAAAGCTTTGAAAGGAAGCTCTGATACTCGAGTGAGGAATACAAACTAGTTGGTCCATACCTGCAGCTACGCACCTCCCTCTAGCCGTTCCAGCCTTCGCTCTAAAAGATAAGGAAAAAACAGACATTGAGTACTCCAGAGTTAAAATCAGCTAATACCAATTATTACAACACGAACTCCATCTTGTAAAATGCTGAGGGCTATGAAAGTAAAGCACATTTCTAATAACAGAAGTCATCATCAGGTGTTAACAACCCTCATTAGACTCGAAAATAAAGTTGCATATTTCAAAAATACAGCGAATAAATGTAAGGGTGCAAAAGAAAGGACTGCAAACACAACATGGCTGAAAACAGCAGTCTTGTAGCTTCCTAATAACATTCATAGAATCACAGAATGTTAGGGGCTGGAAGGGACCTCTGTGGGTCATCTAGTCCAACCCTCCTGCCAAAGCAGGGTCACCTACAGCAGGCTGCAGAGGACCTTGTCCAGGCGGGTCTTGAATATCTCCAGAGAAGGAGAATCCACCACCTCCCTGGGCAGCCTGTTCCAGTGCTCTGTCACCCTCAGAGTGAAGTAATTCTTCTGTCTGGCTTTGTGGCTCTCACGACAGAAGCAGAGTTACCAACAGCAGTACCCACAATCCTGAACTCCTATACTACATTTTTTTGACCGAGGCAGCACTAACACATGACAGTGAACCTGAAGATAGAAACTCTAATGTAAGACAGCATAGATGGAAGTGTATGAAAAAGCTCTGAACTAGGGAACACAAAGAACTAACAACGCAAGATAAAAAATGTTATTTCTATGTCTTAAGCAAATCATCGACGAGGAAATGTAAAAACTTTCTCTAATAGCACCTCATAAGTGGAGGATGCTACTCTGCGATACGGGGTCTCTCTTTGAAGATTCAGTAATTGACCCACAACACAAGATAGCGTATATTTAAACACAAATGTTAGATTTTTTTAAGGGGCTCTTTTGGTGGGGTGTGTTTTGGTTTTGTTTTTTTTAAGAATTTCTTCTCTGCTTCCTCCTAGGTATTCTGCAGAACTACACTCTTGGTAGTCTAGCAGTATTTTACAAAAAAACCCAAAACCGTTTACTTATCAGTACCAAACTAAAAATTGCATCTATCTGCAAGAAGAGTTATCCAAGGCTGAGTTCCCACATTTTGATTGCTTTACAGGCCCCTTCACAATCTTTGTTCTATATCCTCTGAGAAGTGTGGATAAGTGATTCATACCCTCTTCCAACCTGTCTTGTAATACACTTGGATATTTATCACATGTACTCATGCCCTCTTTTCCAGAGGGAGATGTCTTGAGAATTTTTTATCACTGTTTTGTAGTAATTTTCAATTGTTCTAATTTCTTCCTAATTTGTTCAACTGATTTAATAAACTATTATACTCTCTACAGGAACACAGAATCCTAGACACAATAATAACCACAAAATTTTCTTACAATACTAGATAAGAGCAATAAAAATCAATCCATGAATACTGAGAAACATAATTCAATTATCTGAAATGCATATTTTCAAAATTATGAATTTATCTTTCCTAGAATATTACTGAATATTACTAGAATAAGACTGACTATTGGTCAGGGAACACTTTACATACTTATTTTTGTTCTGTTTCACAATAACGTTCTGCGTTATGAAGCTCCTACTAGTGATTCAGGTAAACACGTTACCTGAGGACACCTCCTTCCACCTCACCCACATTCCTCTGCTTTTTTTAAGTTTAATTAAAGAATATTTGTTTATGGCCAGAAAACAGTCCCAGATTCCTGGTAACAGACCTGGCTTCAAAACATCATGTAACACAAAATTTTTGTTTTCTGCCTTTTAAACCCAGTCTTTGCCAGATATTTAAGCCCTATGGAAGTTGTCATAAATGCTGAGTTATATTTCTGTGATAATGAGCTTTCAGAAAAAAAAGAAATACACAGCTCATTGATCTTGTCAATGCTTAAAAATATACTGGTAAACAACTTTTTAATGTTAAAAAGAACATCTTCCCTTTGCACATATAACACTCTAGAGAATTAATTTACAACTTCAAAGGAACCAAAAGCACAGCTAACATACCCAAAGGAACCCATAATTCTTGGATACCTTTAGGAAAAAAAAACACACCTTGCTGAATCAAAGGCAAAATCCAAGACAATAAAAACTTTAAAAAGCAAGCAGCAAATCTGAAAACCACTTGTAGAAATCCTGGGAGAAAGCTCTTAAATCATAAATGTTTCTCAAAACAAAATTGTTCTGGTATGGTTCATTTAATTTCATGCAGAACATAAATAAACCGAATACTTTATACATCAGACAAACCTGGCCCAAAGGCCAAAGAATCCGACAACTACATTTCTTCTCAGAAGAAATCAGGACGTGGATATCTCAGATGAAGGTATATACAGCTGGCATGCTGCCAGCAATGAGTGTAGCATAGCAATTTCTGTAATTAACCGACATGGCAGTAAGCTTTTGTGCAAACTGCAGATTCACCCCAGCCCAGCACTGGGTACTGAAAGTGAACTGTTTTCACAGTTGCATTAAGTGTAGGTTCTTAGTGGGGACAGCAAAACAATTAACAGGTGTAAATTGGGACATCTCATCACAGTTTTTGCAACGAAGATTTTTCCTGAAGTTGCCCCCCAACTGAAGTGCTGTATCTGAGTACATACGTCACCTTCAACTTCTTCTGTACAAAGTTGGGAAGAACTATGACACCACCTGACAAATCCATGTAGAAAAATGAAGGTTTAACACTAAGATTTGACACTTAGCCCGGCCAGATCTAAGAGTGACAAAATACACTCCTGCTGGTGAACAAATTGTTGTAACTTCTGGTATGCAATATAATATAAATAGAACTGCAGCTGGTAATAAAAACAAGTGTCTCTAGCCACTAACTACTACACAATGGATATGAGCCCAATAAATCTAGTGCTTTAATACTTGGTGGCAATACTTCAGTCTCACCAGGGCCCAGGACCATCTGTAAGAGAGTATCAGATCATTTAATGGATTCTGATCAATGAAATTACTGTCACGGTCAGCACTTGTCTAGACCAGTTAGTTCTGATTTCTCATTACACTTTCCAGGAATTAATGTTTGTGGGATATCAAGATTACCACTGACAATTAAAGAGGCTAACAGATAAAATAGTAGCTCAACTTCAGATATATCCTGGCATCGACAGTCTCTCACATAAATCAGCATTCAGTCTGGACTCACTGTGGATTTACATACTTTTAAGTACCAATATGACCAATAATAAAAACTTGGAAATGTAAAAACAACTGTTTCACTGGAGGAAGTGCAGGAGGGAGATAATGATGCATCAGAGAGTGAAGGAGCAAGTGCACGAGGTAAGTCAGATGACAAATAGAGAGGCCTATACAAATCAGACAACGTTTCAATTGCTGACAGCTTAGGCCACAACCCACAGGAATTGTGTCGCTTCCTAGTAAACGTTACTTAGGAGACAGCAAGACAACAGAGATAGCGATGAGAAACTCCTATAGCGCCAAAACCTTACCAAGGAAGCAGCCACACTTTCTCATCTGAGAAATGTCCATCTTCTCCTGAAATCTTTACACCACCCAAACCTCCCAGCACCAGCAGCTACTTGCTCACTGCAAGGCAACAGCTCCTAGTCACTGCGCCTGCTCACTTTATTTTTGCAGACAGAGCTGTCAAACACTGTTTTGCTCTGTGTTGCCAGCGCAAGTGCAAATGTGCATACAGGTTAGCAGACAATCTGTACAGTTAAGAGGTAGATCAGTTGAGTTACAACAGAACGTTTGACTACCAGAAATTGTTTGTTCAATTTAAGACATAATAGGAAGAACAGAATGAAGAACAGAAGAGGTGCACACTTTGGTACCACTGCAGATTAAGACAAAGAAAAAAAAAAAGAAATGAAAACATTTTAAATGTCATGCTTCAAGTTACTGTCACCAGAACATCAAAAAATACTTAAGATTTGGGATGTATATAATTATCAGCAATGTCTGTTCTGTTCCCAGTCAGCAATTACAGCTTAAACATTCCCAAGATCAATCATTAGTCTTACGACTCATAATCAAAGTGCCAAGAGACACAATTTGAGAATGCAAAACAATCCTCTGGTCTACTGTTGAAAACATGAGACTGGGGCTTAGAACACCGGAGTTCTATTACTATTGGACTCAATAGCACTGGACAAGTCACCTCATAGTCCTAAGAGTTTCCATTCGTACTGTATGATCATCTTCTTTGTGTGAAAAGATATTTTGAGAACTAGTGACAGAATGTGTTTAATAGAAGTCAGAGAGTATCATCACCTTGTTACAGCTGCATCTCGGCTAAATATCTAGCAATAACCTTCATTAAAAAAAGTTTCCACAAAACCTTTATCTGTTAATAAAAAAAAAAAATCTCACCAACAAAAGATTTAAGCTTGCTATATCCTTCCAGATTATGGCATTCATAGACTCTCAAAATATCTGAAGAGTTGCAAATACACAAGGTACACACCAAGGCGACATTTTATTTACTTTTTGGATGAGGATCCAAAACATTCAGAAAATAGGCATTCATGTTTTGCTTTATAGATACTGTGCACACCACAGGAAGACCTATCAAATGTAGCACAGTTTTATGCCTTCTTTTGGGTAAAAGATCGAGGTGAACAGAAACAATATTCTCAGTTTAACCGCTAAGCCTACTTCTAGAAGCAACAACACTAGCTGAACTTTAACAACCCCATCCGTCTCAGCTACAAGATTCAAATACTAACACTTTCACTTACCTATCATTAAAGGCAAGATGAAATACCTCAGTGGGAAAATCATCCCCCTGCAGCATTCAGACAGAGTTTACACAGCTCTGCATTAAAGTCTTTTATGATGGTATCAAGGTACATACACGTCTTTCTTTTGACTGAACAAAAGAGAATATCCCATCCAGAGACGAAAGCTGTATTGCACGCCTCCTCACAAAGATCCTCAAACGCAATTGCTATTCTGTACTATTACACCTAAAATACTAAAAGAGGACACAGTACATATGACCATTTCCAGCATTTACTGACAGCCTCAGACGGAAAATAATTTTGAGGTGTCCCAATTTTGAAAGATCAGAATCAAACTGGATACAAAATTCTAGTAGGCCTGAAATTCTGCATTTGCAAAATGTTTAAGTATAAACATTTGTATTTTATTTTGAAGAAGCACAACTAAGAAAGACTGATTTACCTTAAGCTTGTATGTGTCTCTTGCTTGGCTTATATTAGACAAATACTTGCCATGAACTCTACTGTGCAGAATCTGCCATTGCCACGCCTGCAAACCAAAGAGTAAAAATATGCTCAATTATTATTATTTTTGTTTGTAATATGTACACGGTCAAATCCTTTGCAGAAGTAAAGGTATGCAAGTCTCAAATTACACTCATTTACATCTGCAATGAACTGGAGTCAATGCTCTATTTTAAGCAATGAATATTGATTCAAATTACTTTCAACAGCAAATGATTTTCATTAACACTTCAAGAGATTTAATATTGGGTCTGTAGACCTGAAGCTTTAAAAAATATTTCATAGTATTTCTTTTTCTTCATCAGACGCAAACACTGGCATTGCTGTGGAAATATTAACTTAAGAATGTCCTGACTTCTGTTCAAAATCCAAATAAAATAAAATCTAACCATTTCACTGCAAAGCAGTTCTTCCTAAGCTTCTACTCCAGCTCTCTGAAGGTTCCTCAATTGTCCTCATTTACAGCATCATTTGTATACACTTTGGTTTCTTTTTTGCAATATTTACCCCCCTCTTCAATACCGTTATATAGTATCTGAAGCAATACAAATCATTGTAAAAAACATAAAAAAATTCTGCATTAATTTACAACCTAGTACCTACTGAAAACACATCAACGCGTAAACACGTGCAGCACCGTGCAGCATTATTTTTGCCTGAAGACCATTCACAAATGTAATGCCACACTTAAGATGAACTTTTCTCTGTCTGGAAAAGCCTAACTTTCATTCTTACTTACGAACATCTAAAGATGACTAATAGAACCTTTCCTACTGATATCAGCAGCTTTTTACTCCAAACTATCCTCATGGCTCATTTTGTGACCCTGAAACACCTCCTCCAGGCTGCTCACCTGCGGTGACTGATGCTCACTGGCTCTTGTGGTAGTGCAGCTTCGCTTGCTCCTCTCTCTTCCCCAGGCCTCAGAAACCCTCCTTGCTGTACAAGGCTGAACTTGTCACCCAATCTTAGACTTGAGCTGGGTGGGGGGAGAAGGGGGTGGGAAGGATCAAGAGTGTCGATGCACTTTGCCAAGAACTAGACTTAGTACTTGCTTGTAGTTTTATGCACGTATTTTCAGACGTTCTTCACTCACGCACTTCTCCATCAATTCTTTCCACTCACTTTTCCTGGAAGGCACAGTATGACATCAGCTGGTTTCCACTGCTAGCAGGAGCAGACTCCAGAAACTTTATGACAAAAACAAGTGCTATAAATACAGTTTTGACTGCATGAGGACTCAAAATAGACATAAAATTCTCTTATATATCTTGCTGGATTCTCAGGGTTTCTATACCTCGTATCTGGAGGTTCCTTGCACTTCCTGACTCAAAACCTCACAAGTAACACTCTATGTGGCACATTGTCTTCTCTCTGTCCTCACATTGGGAAAGTTCACCAATTTCTTCCCAAACAGCAGGCTTCTTTGTACAGCACCATCAAACACAGCATGTATCAAATACTGCATTCATAAAAAAATACGTTACGACAACGTTTAGTACGTCCCTATTTAGAACCAAATTATATGTGCATGTGCCACAGCAGGTAACACACGCAAACAATTCTTATTTCATTTTTTTTGAGTTATATTACTAGAGAAGACTGGATATAAACTCTCCTTAATGATTAGACAGAAACGGGGTGAAAATACAAAGGAATAGATCAAGATACTCCTACTGTAGATCCAGTTTAAGCCAATGCTTTTTTCAAAACAGAGCACAACTCTTTCCTTACCACCTATCCATCCCCACCTCTGTATAACAAGCCTGAGAAAGGAAACGATCCAGGTGTGACCTAGACTACCAACAACAGGAAAATAATAGTTTTAATGCACACATGTTCCCTGATTCAATTCACTGCACAGCCACTCAGATGCTCCTGGCAGCACAAAAGCAAGAGGAAATGCATGAAAGATGGAACAAGCCTCTTTCACAGCAATATTGGCATATGCTCATTCAAAATGCTCGTGGAACTACATCATCAGATTTAGGTGCCAAATTTCACATCATTAATTCGCTACTGATTAATCCTTTTTAAAGGCCCCAAGTGATAAATAAGGCTTCCACTACCTCTGTTAGGAAAACACTATACTTGTAAAAAGCACGTGCGTGTTCTTCCATATAATCACCTTTACTGTCCCAATTCTTTGTCAGTGGACTGCCTCCGATATTTAAAGACATGTCACTCCCTATTCTTGATTAAACTATATGACTCAGTTTTCTAAAATCACAAGTAAATCCTTTTCAACTTTCACTTTTCACTAATAAGTTTAATATCATTAATTGTTTTTCAACAGCAATTATAAGTTTAACTAACTTCAAATGAACAGTGGTCTTAATTCCAAATTCCTGTAATCTTCCCACATGTCCACACTTAACCTAACTTTATTATTGAACTGCATGATTATGGCATTAAAAAAAAGAAAGGAATTATTTTTGTAAACAAAAAAAGCAGTAAGGTAAGAAGAAAATAAGTAATTACTGCTTCCTGTGGAATTTCAGGACCTTCAAAGGATGTCAGACGAAAGTTCATTTCTCGTGTGTCTAACCTTGAGAAAACCTTTTCTGCAAACAGGATAATTACCCAGTAATCCATTCTGAGTTGACTGTCTTTTCTCCCTTAAACTCAAAGCACACATGGCAAAGATAATTTCCTGTCCTCACACATCTAAAGCATTATATTTTGCTACATGAATCACTTGAACTCCTGGAAATAGGCAGAGCACTAAGTTACCGTTTTTGCACTAGTGGGCAATAAATGCAAGACAACTTTATTACTTACGTAGCTCAAAGCATCTGTCTTCCAAGAAACACAACTGACAGCTTAGCTTAGCTCTGAATAATATCACTTTTTTACATATTGCTTCAGGAATATTCTTCCAAAATGGAAGACTCACATACCCTAGTGCCATTCTGTAGCCTAGCTTTGTCTTCCATCTACTCAATGCACTTAGTGAACATGTATTTCTTCAGTGTTCTACCCATTTATCATGACATCTTTCACAGAACAGACAAACAACATTTTTAAGCATGCAACAGTGTACTTCCACGAGGCCTCTGAAACTGCCTA